CATGCGATTTTGGATCCTTTTATATTCTAACTCTTTCCATTTAAGTTTAATCGAGATTTGTAATACATCAATCACAATGGACACAATGGACACAATGGAAAAGTGTCCATTGTCGATTGTTATATCAATGGATATGTCCATTGCCAACACTGTTTATTTATATATTGCATGTAATACAATATAGATACTTATACCAAAACTAATCTAAATTTTTCTTCTTTTTTGTAATTAAAAACAAAATACTAAAAGGTTATGTCCATTATTATTTATCTGAAATATTTAAAAGAAACCTGCTGTAAAGGTTTAATTCGAGTTATTATCTCTTTTTAATTTGAAATTTCGAAACTTTTCACAAAATAAGAATTTCATTTTTCATGCTTGCTAGGTAATACAAATAAAAAAAAGTAAGCACTCTCTCCATCTTTGATAGCATCATATATTTCATTTAATTGTGAAAACATCTCTGCTAAAATATATTATAAATGTTTCACTCTTATTTTAGCTAGAATAAAAATAAATATTTTACGTAAATAAATTTGCAGTTAAATTTCAAGTTTTTATTATTTCAAATATGCTTATGCATAAACTAATTGTAAAATATTTTATAATAAGCAAATTACATTGTATTACAAAATTATAAAGCTATAGAAGGATATTGTACAATTATAATATAATTGATTTTGGAAATAAAATCATAAAAAAAGTGATTATTTCTGTGACATTAATTTTTCTTTTTCTTTTTTTTCCTTTCTTCTTTTTTCCTTTCCTTTTTCCATCTCCTTTTAATGGTTTGAGCCACTCTTTAGTTACTACCCACTTAATAACCTCGATTGAATTTGCCCTTTCACGAATTTCTTGATCGAGTTGTTGCTTTGTTATAATTTCGTGAGTTTCTTCAATGATATAACAAATATTATCCTGGTGGAAAAGATAGTTTATCAAAGCTTCTCTTAAGTTTGGTCCTACATACTGCATGCTACTTTCTATACAAGACCATATATAGATAGCATCAGCAGTGTCTTCTAACCAAAAGATGTCGCCATCAGTACTTACGAGAAAGAAGTAGACTTTATTAGAAATACCATAAACTTCAATGAAATCTGTAATTTCACGATCATACAAGACTTTATCACTGCTTATTTCTTTAAAACGAGTATTACTTTTTAATAGATTAAGAAGTGAGGGAATGTCCTGGGAGTATTGTATATCAGGACCATGATGCAATTGTCACATGGTGGTATCACTTTCTGTGTTAGTGTTGAGATTGAGTGAAGTCTGATTGGCAAGTCTTGTCTCCATATTGCTAGATGAGTCAATGAGTAGGTTTCAGCACAATAGCCGAACTTTCAGGGCTCCTTTTCCAGGATCAGATTCCCTTTCTCGTCTAATGGGAGGAGATGGTGATTCAAAAGGTCGTTGTTCTGTCAAAGCTTCAACTTTTCTGGTTTGATCTTTGTGGAGCCTATTAGTGTCATCCCGAATGAGACATTGAGGATCTTCTGTCGCTCAGACTTCTACATCACAATGATTACAACTGGAATTCGATGAGATTTTGTCTCTAACATTGCTATCCATCTCGCCAACTGCTTCTGATGTAGAAAAAGAAATTGTATTTGCTCCTCGAGAAACTTCAAACTTTTCGGAATTTGTCTAATATTGATCGTATAAAACAGGTAAAGCCCGTCTCAAATCGTATTCAGTGCAAGGTTTACTCCGTCTACAGTTATGTCTAAACTTATCAGTTTCCCATTTTTTTGAAGAAATATTTGTCCGCAGTCTCTAAAATATCAGAACAAATTTAGCTGCGCTATTAGCTTTAAAGTGAAGTGGTATAATATATGAACTATACTTGTAAGGAATTAGGAACGTATCGTATAACTGTTTTGAAAGTTTGCTCGCCCTCAACAAGGTTTCTAAATAATTCCAGAACTATAATTTTTTGTCAGAAGATAAGGTATTATAACTAAAAAAAAGGGTGTAATTCTAAACAAAGACTTTTGTTTCACTATTAATTACCGATATTAGCGTTTTTTTTTGTTTGTAATCCGGCAGCATTTTACATTCCATAAATGGATATGTGGCATTTTTGATTTGACAAAACTTGATATACATAATTGGTAAATATATATATTTATTTATGCTATTTTAAACTTGATGTGTGATTGTCTCATTGTATTTAAACTATCGCGAATTATTATATTACTTATATTACTTATCAATTTATTACAATTATGTCGTAGCACCTATGAAAGCACACATAAAAAAATTAAAATTAAAAAGACTGCTGACTTTGCTAAGAAGAAAAAAGTTGAGTTAAGAGAGACTTGAGTGAGTTTTGGATTAGTATGAGTGGGATATCTCAATTCATTCCAAGTAAGTAATTGTTTGCTTAGGCAAACTTTTTCTTTATTAAAATATTTTGAGCTCACATATAAGTATTATGACCACCCACCTAATCGATAAAAGCACTTCTAAAATTAAACTATGTATTGACAATATTCTCCGCCAGTTGTAGTTAATATCGAAGTCATGAAATACATTTCAACAATATTACATATAGCTGTAAGTCTTCTCGATGGTTAATCACACCTCTGGCGAATATAATTGGCGAAGAATACACTGGCCATGTTGACTATGCAATCAAATTATCAGCGAGATGCTAGAGAAAACAAACAAAGTCAGGAGACCGTGAGTATTTGCCAAAACTTACTATGATATCGAAGTACGTGTGATATAAGTATTACATTTTCGCTCATTACAAGCTGATCATGGGGTATTGCTAACTTACTTCACTATTTCCCTCCAGATGAATAGAAATATGTAGAAGAACAAATGAAAGGATGATAAGGCGTTCGATCCTGACTATGTATATGGTGTAGTCAGTACTGGAACTGACTGACTGTTACTTTATTCTTCATAGCACTGAGGGTATATATAATATATAGTACTAGCAGGACTGATTATTAAATTTTCCTAACACTCAAAGATGATACAGAATTGCATAAGAGTAAGAAGAGATTTTATAAGTGATTGTTGGATTATTAGAGGAATGAGCAGTAGGTAGTGATAAAACTACGAATAAGAAGTGCTGTGTAGAAGAAATAATTAAGAAAAATAATAATCGTGTACATTAATCCGCAGTCATTGTCATAGTATCACAGGCTATGTCCTGAAGATTTGTATTTATTTTTGCATATATTAATACAAAATTTTTCTTGCAAAACTGTAAACAAGTTAACAAGTAGCCAAAATAACCTAAATAGTTTGTTGTAACCCTTGATCTTTTTTTAGTTTTTGTTCTTTATCGATACTAACATATAGAGTATAAAAATTAATTATCATTTCAATATAGGCTACGAAATCTAAAATATATTTATTAAGGCAACATATTACTAAGCTCGAGGCTGAAATTGATGAGATTTCCGAACTTAAAAAGGTGTTGAGGCTTGAAATGCAAAGCTTATAAAGCAGATGATGGAAAAGAATAACAGATGTGATGGTAGAATCGAGGATACCACTTACAGAGTTGCAAAGCTGGAACAAAAACAACTGTAGCATGATAATACTCCTAACAACAACCATCTGACTTCAATTCAGGTAAAACCATTATGTAAAGGCATTGGAAGATAAGGAGATAGATGCTTTTTTAGCCAATGTAAATAAGAAAATAATTGCCGATAATGTTAGATAATGCAATAAGGAGAAGAAACTCCAGCATGAAATAGCTGCCCAGGATGGTACATCTGATACTGCGTACATATCAGAAACCATTAACAATGTTGAGAAAACAGATGAGTCAGGGAATAGTAAAATTGTCAATTGTATTGTATTCCTTCAGAAGTATCTCATGGAATAGAGTCATCTCTCAAAAGAAAACCATTTACGATCCAGGTAAATCAGCGGAAGAACCATGGTCTCACTCGATGCCATCACTCCAGATTGTTTCCACAAAAGATAAGACAGAATCATCTACAAAGCAATCGACACAAAGCTTGGCATCCTTAAGTATAGTAATCAAATTTGTACAAGGATTGTTGGAAGAACTTCTCTTATCATATAGTTAACTTCTGGAACCTATAAAGTTTTCATTCTCCTAAAACCATAATCACCAGATCAATAAGTATTATAGCAAAGCGAACGGAGATTTTATCTTGGTGTTGCTTCTCTAAAAGGTTCAGGTCAGAAAAGTCTAAAGTGTCAGAAATGGAATAATTCGAGGGACTGAGCTGCAGTGACTGTCTTGGGCACAGTCCAAGATTATGAATTTTAGAATCAGTTAATTAATTGTTTCAGTTTCAAATCTGAGATTCAATTTTTTTAACTTTAATTTAGCACAATGAACTATTAAAATGTCAAAGATTGTATAAATATTATGACTTGAGCTTTTTTTTTCATTATTATTGATTTTTCATTGATTATTTCTTCATTTAAACAAAATTTTTTATTATATTATTTAACGAAAATTTGCCTATTTTTGCAAGATTCATGTGATATATAATAAAACAATATTCAAGAAAATAAAATCAACGAAATATAAAATTTCGGGTATGTCAAGACATATATTTTATTATTGATCATAACTTTTTTTGAGAATGATTTATTATATTTATTATTCTATTTATTAGAATATTAGAATAAACTTTCCTAATAGTTGTTATCATTTTTAATTATATATCGATATATTTATTGATAATTTTTTACATATACGATCAGCGAATGTGATGGGATTGTAATGGAGAGATACAGGAAATACTAAAGTTAATTTGAAAATTTAATTTTTTAGAAATTATTCATAGAAAATAACAACAAGCCATCCATTTTAAAAAAATAGCAAAATCAAAAAAAAAAATATTTATCCTTGATATTAATCACTGTAATTCTAAAAAATATTAAGTTCTAATTATTTAAATTAGGTTTGTAAGATTATTATTATAAATAGCAAAAGAACTTTTAAATCAAACTTTATAATTAAAATTATAAGTTTTATTAAAATAATGTTATAACTTTTTTATTGTATAGCACTGCCCAAATATCCCGGATATCCAATTTAAAAATTATATAATAATTTTAATGCAATTTAGAATCGTTATATTGAGGAAAATTGAAATCGATTATTTTAAGGACCAGCCTGATAGTAAATATTTATTTTTTTATACTTTTATTTTATTAATAAAAAAATTTGACATAGAACTAAATTGTGCAAAATTAGAGAAGATATGATTTTGATGTGATATGTATTTGATGATCTATTCTGTATTTATTCAATTTTCGCTCAATTTGTATAGTTAGTTATTCGGATCTTCATCGATCTATGTATTTGTGGCTGATTTCGGTAATGCACCTCATGTAAATTGAATCTGAAGTTATTTATTGCTACAGCTACAGCTATAGCTACAGCTATTGCTATTGCTATTGCTATAAGCTTCTATGTATCATTAGAATAAATTCATAATTTAAAATTACCTGTGCTACTTTTGAAATGCATTAAATTTAACCATGTTTAAATTTTGCAGAAATTTTTGTTTCGTTGATCTTTGTAAATCATTTGCATTTTATTATTTTTTAGATTTAATAAAAAATTAAAAAAAAAATAATTTCGTTTCATTTGATTTTTTTGTGTTACATTAATTTATTTGTTGATCATTTATGTTTCTATATTATTACAATTGTATTTTGAGATCTTGATTATGAAAAAAAAATTTATTTCTTTTATTTCCCTTATTTGTAATGGTACGTTATACTAATTTATATTTATTTTTTTTTAAAGAATTTTTACACAATATTTGTTGTGTTATGCTTTTTTGTTATATTATATTATATCATATTGAATTTTTATTGTTTATATGTTTATTTGTTTATATTATATTAATTAAACGTTTTTAATGATTTATAAACTTTTTCTTTGGTTATATTTTTATTTGATATTTTTGTCTTTTTAATTTGATACAAATTTTATTTTCATATTATTTTAAATTATTTGTAATGATATATTTATAATTATTTTTTCTATTTGAAGATTTTTTACATGATATTTTTATATGTATGCTTTTTTTGTTATTTTATGTTACATGACATGTATTGTATTTTCATCGTTTGTATTGTTTTTAAAAAAATCATTCCTTTATTTGTTATTTGTCTTGCATATTTCTTTCTTTTGAAAAAAAAATAAAATAAAATTTTCTACTTTTTTACAATAACATGCTTATGTTCAAATCATAAACAATATAAAATTTTATGAAAATAAAAAGATTTTTCATAAACAAATAACAAACAAATAAAATATTTTAAAAATCTAAAACAGATTATTTATCTATATTATTTTCTTTTAAAAACAAAAGTAAAATACATTTTGTTAAATTTTTTATTTTTTAAAAATTATAATCAAATCCTCTCTCGAATATTAACAACGCATTTTTATAATTCAAAAAAAATTATTCAATATTCTAGCTCAATTATCTACAATCTTGTACATTTAGAATATAAAGAAAAGATTTCAAGTGGTTATTTTGTGGGAAACGCTGTTGGATACACTAGGCTCAATGAAAATAATTCAATTCAAGTTTTTAATATTACTGTTTTTTATCCTATTGAAGAATTGAAACCATCTTATGTTCTCAAATTAAAAGAAGGTCTTATTATATCTATTGCAAATTCAAAATTTACGAAAAGTTCAAAAAATGATGAAATTGATGTAAGAAATATATATATATAAAAGAAATACTTATTTTATTTATTTATTTTAATTAATTTATTGATACATTGATTTTGTTTATTTTGAATTATATAATTTTATTTTTAGCTAATTTTAAATTCTGCGGTTATTTTACATATTCATCCTGAAGATTTACCTATTCATCAGATAAATGTAATAGTTGTAGCTTTGGCTTCTGAATCTGTTATTATCAATGAAATTGACATCCAGTTGAATGCATCATAATGAACTATATGTCAATAGATAAACCAACTGAAACACAAATCACATCATTTTATCCGACTAGCAGTCATTTTACAAATCAAACAACATCTGTAAAACGTAATTCTTCAATATTTTTTGCAGGTTTTTTAACTTTTATCGAAAATAAATTCTATTTAAAATTACATAATTTTAATTTTTTACATGATCAACAATCTCCTGCCTCTTCAACCTCTTTCAAATAAATACCATGATCAAATTCATTAAAATCATTCTCACCAATTTTAAATTCGACGACTCAAGCACTTCACAAAAATTCTATACAAACCATAAAGTCAATAATTCCAATATATAATAAATATCAACAATCTTTAAGTTTTTACAAAACTCAATCATTTGCGAAGAATCTTCTGTGTTCGTTGATGAATACACAAATTCTGAAATCAATCAGCAGATTATTGCTTCTACATCTACTGCCAAAATTCAACAACCTACACCAACTATTAGCAAATGCAAAACCCGCACAACTACTCAAACACGAACTATCAAAAAACTAAAACTTGCTGATCTTACGTCTAACACTCTCAACTCTCATCATGAAGATGATAATGATAATTAAATTTTTTTGATTTTAACATTTAAGAAATTTTTTAATTTTTTTTTTTATTTTATATAAATTTGTTTTTTAAATAAATAATAAATATATTGATCAAAAAATTTATGCAAATCAAAGCAAATTATTTATTTCAATCAATTATATATATATATAAACAAAAAATTAAGTTAAAACAAAATATTTAATAACCAAAATTACAAAAAAAAAAATTAAATACAAATAAATGCAAAAAGAAAAAAAATGTTTCGTTTTAAAAAAATACTATCCAAAAAAAAAAAACTCAATAACTATATAAAAAAAAAAAATTTCAATTCTTTATACAAAAAATCCTTCAATTTTTGAATAATTAATTTTTTTTTTATCAAAAAAAATTCATAAATTACTATAAAAGAAAAAAATTATTTCTATAATTAGATTATAGAATATTACCTTTTTTTTATTAAATTCAAATTTTAGATAAAATAGGTTTATTTACTTCCCATTCAATTATATCATTCATTTAAAAAATTTGATTTTTCTTCGTTTGAAATTTTATCTTCAATATATATTACCTTTTCATACGTAAAAGGTAAATCTTTATATTTATTATTTATAACTAAATTAAAAAAAAAATTTTTTTATATAAGCATTTTTAAAACAGAATATTAAAAAAATTATAATCAAAATAATTTTTTTACCTTCTATATCTCTTTGCAATTCTGATTTAAATTCTGACTTTAATTCTATAAAAAAAAATTTTATTAGAAAAGTCATTAAATATATTAATTTATTATATGAAAAAATACGATAAAACTAAAAATAAATCTATATTTACTTTCAATTTCTTTATTTTTTCCATTTTTAAGATAGATTTCCGTTTCTTATTATGAGCATTGATTAAAACAAATTTTATTAATAAATTTTCAAAAAAATAATCCTTATATTGTATTAATTTTATTTAAAATAGTTATCGGTTTTTTTCCAAAAATTGGATTTAAATTTATCATAATAAATTTTAGCTAATCCAGTTATCTTTTCATTCCTTTTGCCATTTTCATAATTTACCAGATTCTATGAGATAAAAAATTAATATTATTAGATATTTTCATATTATTTATAAATGTGTAAATATCAAATTTATATTTCTTAGATAAAAAAAAATAAACCTCACATTATAATCTATTAAGAGACTATTGAATTTTTATCTGCATTGATTACCGGTAAAAAATGATTTTGCTCTTTATTGATTTCATTAGCAATATTTTGCCAAAATTTTCTTTTATTTCTTTCATGTTTGTAATGAAATTCATTATTTTCAATCTTTCTTTTTTTAATCAAACATTCAATTTCTCATCGGTTCACTCAGCAACATACATGATAATTTAAAAATTTTTTTTGAAATAATAATAAGCAAAAAATAATTTTGAATTGTTTTGATAAATAAATAAAAATTTAAGTATTTGATTAATAGCAATTTTTTTTTCGAAAAAATGAAAA